ACAGTTTTGAGCTATCAATGACTCATTAGTTGACAACTCTAAATTAATGACTAATTCACTAGCCCTTAGAGTGACTGATTTAAATGAACTGAATAATAAGCACTGTTAATGCCTACTTAAATCAACTGAGAGTATTTTCTCACACCTCAGTGATTAGAAATTATGAGCTTGGTTTAATTCCAAAATAATGTATAACCTTTGCTGTGCATAGGTTTTCAATAAATAGGGAAAGCATATGGTGTTTTCTCCTCCTCTCATCTCCCAAATCCCACACTCCTCCTTATCTTTCTTCCTTCTCAAATATGTGGCTTATTGACTATGGATGGAAATGTGTCATTTTAGTCTCTTAGTTCTTGTTGAAAGACAGTATGATGGTGTGGGAGGGCTTAATAATATAATTTCCATGGCAGTATCAGATAATATATTAAACACAGTATATCAAGGTATGAAACAAATACTAAAAATTTCCATTCCAAGCTATGTTCCTTCTCAAAGGTTCCCTTACCATACTACTTTAAACCCCCACTATATCTAAAGTGCATTAAATATTTATTATGCTTTCTGTCCTAAATTATTTATATTTCTCTACCATGACTAAGAAACCCCAAACCTAATCATTACCATATTTGAAGATATATTTCAGAAACAACTAAGAATTTGACTGTAATTGATGCAAATATTAAGAATCAAAGACTAGGGATGTAGCTAAGTGGTAGAGCTCTTGCCTAGTGTGTGTGAGGTCCTGGGTTCAATTCCCAGTTTTGCAAAAAGCAAACAGCAACAACAAAAAACTCCTCAAGTATGAAGAATCACCATGTATGATGGTGTACAACTGTAATTCTAATGGAGGCAGGAGGATCTTGAGTTCCAGGCCAAGTTACATAGCAAGAGCCTGTTTCAAAAAAAAAAAAACAAAACATCAACTAAAAACAGTCCTGGATGCAGGTCCCATAAGTTCTATTAGATGTCATCATAAGCATCTTATTACTTGGCAATAGCTTACGTTTCCATTAGAAATTTTTTTAATATTTTGTACTACGAATACTGTGGACTTCTCTATATTATCAACAATTGTACTGCAAATAAAATTTCCAAATTTAATTTGTAAAATACATATGTTCCTGGGGACATGACATACACTATTTGGTGATGAGAAAGAACTAGAAAATTATCATAAATCTCAGAAGTATTAAATCATAAATTAATGAGGGAGGACACAAAAAGTAAAAGTAAGTTCTCAATCATTTTTGTTATAAAACAACTAATGAACCAACCAATAGCAAAGGGAGGCAATAAGAAGTGAAAACACCAAGCTGGAATGTGGGTATGCTTCAAGTGGTAAAGCACTTGCCTAGCAAGTGTAAGGGCCTGCATTCAAATCCCAGTAATTAAAAAAAAAATACATAAAGCTGAAGATTATATTTTGCCTAGTTCGCTGAAAACCACCTTGAGGTTGTAAGAATAAGATCTATTGTAGAAGTTTCTCCTATTCTCTTTATTACACATTTTCTCTCCTTACACACTGACAGTAAAAAATGTAGAATAAATGCAAATGAACTTACTGAAAATATGTTTTGTGAAGAGGAATCTACCTTCTGCCATTTAAAGGTTGATTGACCTAATTCTGTCACTATGATGAGCCCTGCTCTTGGGTAGAGCTGACTTGCAAATTACTATCATTCCAATGGACTAAATTGTGCCCAACCCACAACTCCTATGTGGAAAACCCAAGTCCTTCAACCCCAGACTGTGACTGAATTTAGAGACAGAGACATTCATGGAATGATGAAGTCAGAATGAGGCTGTTATGGTGAGCCCTAAGGCAATGTGGTGGTGTCCTAGGAAATTTGGATACACAGAGACACCAAGCCATTTGCAAGCCCAAGTTAGGACACGGTGAGAAGGTGGCCATCTGTAAGTTAGTAAGAGAGGCTTCAGGGAAAACCAGAGTGGCTGGTTGTAGACTTCCATTCTCCATAGTTGAGAAATAAAGCCTGTTGCAAAGCCACCCAGCTGTGGTATTTTGTTATAGCAGTTGTGCTAACACATGATCTTAAGACATGAACTTTAAATAAAAGCCTCTTCCATGAAATCATTAAGTTACTTCAGTTTGAATTCAGATCAGCTCACATGGAACTTTATCAAATGGGAGATTAAAAACAAAGTTTTTTAATAATGCAACATCAAGGTTATATACTCGAAAACCTTGATATAAAGTATTAAATAGGATTGCATATAAGGAGGAGAAGGGTGACGGGGGAACTCAGGCACTGTTCTCATAGTCCCTAGAGAATAAGTGATTAAGGACTTTGAGCAACCTCAATACCATCTGAGTAGATATGTATCATGGGGTAGGCCAAAACTCTAATATTTCGAAGGTTATAGGAAAAGTATTAGTAAACTGATATACTTTTTTTTTGGTGGTCCTGGGGTTTGAACAGCACTATGCTGTACTGTAGTTTCTGTCCCTCATGGTTTGAGAAGCCAAATGCCACAAAAAGACATTGACAGGTAGTGGCTCTTCATCTGAAGGCACCAAGAACACTGAATCCTTAGAGTTTGAAAGCTCTTGATAGTTTACGTTCTTACTCATCTTACTTCACAGCTGAGGAATCAAAGTTCTGCCTAGAAATTAAGAAATAAACTGAAATGGAGAGTGTGTTTTGCTCAAGGCCACACAGTTGGGGTGGCAGAGCCATTGGGGGCTTACTGTGCTTTTCTCACTTATTTTAGGGTCCTCATCCCATGTTATGGGCTGAATTGTGTCTGTCTAAAATTCATGTTAGAGTCCCAACCCCTTGTACCTCAGAAGGTGATCATACTTGGAGACACAACCTTTAAAGAGGTAATTATGGTGAAATGAGACCTATAAGGTGGGGCTCTAATTCAAGGTGTCTCGTGGCCTATGAAAAGGAGACAATAGCAATGCACATACACAGTTAGGACACAGTGACAAGGCAGTCAAGGAGAGGGACAACAGAAGAAACCAATCCTAATGACATCTTGATTTTGGATGCCTAGATTTTAGAGCTGTGAAAAATTACATTTTTATTGTTTTAAACCATCCAGTCTGTGGTATTTTATTATTGCAGCCCTAGAAAATTAATATTCCCCAGATAAACTGCAGGCTTAGAAACTGCTGAGGCTGGAGGCAGACAGCTCATGGTCCAGATTCCTGAAGTTTCCTAGAGGCAAAACAAAATTTCTAAATAATTTTCAATATTCATAAAAGCCTGAATAAAATATTGTCTGAAATTCCTGATTTTGTTGCTTTTAGGTGGAATTCTACCAAGTCAATAAGGTAGATGCACTATTTTATACTAATCTGAAACTCTAGCAACATAGGATTTTGATTAACTTAAAATGAGACAATTATTTATCACTTAATAAAGTAGACTTGTTTGGCAAATTAAAAACCTCATGCTTTTTGATGAAGAGAAGTTTATATAAGAACCATTGTTTCCAGCCTCCAATTCTTCTATTTGGATCCTCCAAGGCCCCTGCTACTTAATCCTTTCCAAATGTCTAGAGCTCTTTCAGAGGGTAAGCTGAGCAAATTAGAAGGCCTTAGTCATCTGTCACAGCAGGGTGTTCAGGGCCACTGTTTTCAAATCTGGGAGTGTGCTGACATTTGCTGAATGCTGTATGTGATTGTCTTCCTGCTAGTCAACAAAGTTTTACATGAAAATGATCTCAAGATAAAGAACTGTGAAGACAGTTGGCTGGACCTTGCTCTTTAACCTAATAGAATTAAAGTCAAAAAGCCAAGGCACTCATGTACCAGGGTATCAAATACCTTCAACAGAATGTATATGAAAGCTTGAAACCAGTATTTTAAGTAGGAATGTACATTTTATCTTTAAAAAAAAGCAGACGTATGAAGAACACAAATTTCTATTAAGAACAGAAGTTTATTAAATGTTTTATAGTAAAATATTGAACCTACTCTATTACAATACGCTGGCTTGATGTTCTAATAAGAAGCATGGTGCCTCACCTAAGGGAAGCTGATGGTGCACACAGGATGGAATTCTGGGGTTCTACACAAACAACTGTATCTTCTTTCTGCTTTTCCCAGCAACTGCAATACTGATGTTCAGAAATGTTTAGGCTTTGGGAAAAACCTGTAAAGTTTCCTGAGTATTCCATTAAACAATTCTTATAATTTTGTCACCATAATGGAAAACATGAACATTTTCTGAAGGAAACATCCATTTTAGTATTTAGTATCTTCAGTAATTGAGAACCACAATCCTAAATATTTAATATAAGAAAGTCTTTGGAGTTAGCATAAGGCTTTCCAGCACAAAGTAAATTTCAAGACAATTTATCAAGGGCTAAATTTCCTTGAATCACCAAGCCAATGGTATGTGCAGATAAAAAGAAATGTCCAAATTAGCTGAATATTTTCCAACTAACAGAACCTAAAAAATATTGGAGGAAAGTAAGGATATGGGAATGAATAGATATTGGATGGTAACAGATGGCCAGAAAAAATGTATTGAGACTAGCTACATTAAGTAGCAAATAACATATCTTTGTTCATTGGTCAACACTTTCTCCATGCGTATAATTATTTCAAGATAGCTTTTCTACAAACTACATTGGTTCATTCATTTTTCAAGTCAACGTATAAAGATATTTTAATTCTGAATGGCTAAAGTTACAGCTTATAGCTTTTATGGTATTTATCCTTTATGTGTATCTGACATTCTCAGTCATGGCTCTTGAATATATGGTTTCTTGATAAAATATCACTAAAACAACTGATGTTGAAAAAATACTGCTTACCCAGAGTTCAGCCTAAGAATTAACTAATTTGTTTTTAGCTCACATAGAACTAGGTCTTTCTTCTTTTAAATAATTTAGCCAATCCTATACAAAAACAATTATTGAGAAAATCATATAGTGAGATCTGGACTCACAGTCATTTATAAATATATATTGAGTACTGGGGATGAATTTTGTATTTCCAACCCACACTTTTGTGCGCTATATTTTCCACACTAGACATTTCATTCTGTGAATATGGCAGTCAATGAAAGAACTAAAAAGTAAAGCAAAATTTTAATTTTGATGCAAGTATTCTGTATTCATATCAATAAAGGAGATCATGCTTTCAAAGGGAGGAAAACTAAATTGTATGTGATTTAATCTAGAGTTGTGCAGTCATAACTAACCCAGACATACAACCATCTTCTGTACAGAATTAAGCAGCTAGTGTTAAAATACTACAAACCATTTGGTTAAAAAAAGCTTACAACCAATCCTTTAGGAAGGAAATACTGGTGAAAACAGTTTTAAAATATATATCCTTGGAAAATGTGACATTTTTAAGCATTAAAACCTCGTTTCAGAAGTTCCTCGCTTTAGGTTATTACTCAAAAACTCATCATGTTCAAAACTCAAGTTATTATGAGATCTTGAAATCATAAGAAGCTTCTCCTTATTGGTAAAGTCTTTTTTGATGGTGGCTTGGGGCACAAGCAACCTATCCATTGGGTCCTCTTTGTTCTCTAGTTTCACATATCCTTTGCTGTTGCTTCGATCCAACCGGGGCCAACTTGGGTGTTTCCGTTGTTCTGCCTGAACAGTTAGAGTAGAGGGATCCCTGTCTAAGTCTAAGGATTTTGAATGTGAGGATAGGAAATGCAAGGATGTATTAGACCCAAACTGTCTTCTAGCAGCTCCAGGAGACAAGAGCTGTCCAGCCCCAGGTCCAAGGGCAACAGAGGACTTGTACTGATTTGACAATGACTCCCCAATGGAATTATTCCTTGGGAGTACCATGCTGACTGGCTGGAAAGATTCACCAGTGCTGGGCAAAGGGACCACAAGGGAATCCACTGACAAATTCTTTGACCTACTTTTGAGGTTGTCAGCATCCTCTGTGATGTTATCTATACTGGGTTCATCAATAACACAGTTATTAAGTTTGATCACTGGCAGTGTGAAAGCACTGATGGATGATGACACAATTGACTTGGTTTCGCATTTCTTAGAGCCACTGGTCTTATCATCAGTTGTCTTGGCAGTAGGTGGACAGAGGCCAAAGACAGAGACTGAGCTGTCAGATAGCAGAGGGGGCATGAGATGCCCAAAGCTCTTACTCTCATTGACCATCAGTTCATCCTCCTCCACAGAGCTGTCCATTCGAAAACTGCTCCGCAATCCAGAGAAAGAGGCCACCGTATTTGTTGCCAGCCTTGGAGTGCAGGAGCTCCGGTTCTGCTTCACTTCTGGCTCTGCCACCAAGCCAGAGTAAATGCCATTCATCTGCTTTTGCTCTTTGATTCTCAGCGTGTGGATGTCAATGACTGTGGAGTAGATGTCCCTCATATGTATGATTTTGGTCTCCTTGTCACGGTTTTCATGAAGAATGGCATTAGCGCAAATGAAGATGAAAATACCAATTCCCATCGTGAACGGGCCAAGCATTTTCATTTTATCAGAATGCAAATGCTGCTCAAAGAAGCGAACCACCACACCGCCTTGGTTCCGAACCACCTGAGTTTCATTTGTTGACAATGTTGTTTCAGCATCAATGAAATGTTCTTTTTGGGGCCAATATCCAAGGACAGCCATTGCAATTCCTATAATGGAGATAAACACCCCTAAAATAAGGAAAAACCCAGATGGGGAATAAAGTCTAATTTTGCCACGAACAACCACGACATCTGCACGTGGCCGCCGCCTGACTGGTTTCTTTTCCTGGGCAGTGGGGGATGGGCTGAGATTGACATGGTGCTGTGATCTGGCAGAGTCTTGTCTTTTCAGGGCGGCCAGGCCAGTGATTACTCCACCAGTGGCTATCATAGTTCAGCCTTTTGTTCTGAAAAGAAAGGAAACAGACAACAATCTAAATTTTATGTTCCTGGAGTGGCTCAGCAATTCAGTTCAAGCACTGCTCACATAGGATTTGTGTGCTATTGTTGTTTTCTGTGGTTAAATGAGGCAGAAGATCTTCGTATTTGTCAAAGTTTGTGTGACTGATGTAAATTTCTGGAGGTTTCCTTTTTTGGTAGGATGTATTGGATCCAAGCTTTCTAGTATTGATTAAAAGTGAGTTCAAGGTATAATTTGTTTAAATAATTTTATCACTTACTGTATAAAACAGTCCCCTGGTCACAAGTCTCTGTCCCTTTTTGTCTTTCTCACACACTTGTGAATGTATACACACACAGACACATCTGAGTCCATCATTGTGTTATTTTAAAGAAACAGAAAAATGCAGAATACTCAATAGGCCAACTGTAAACCACAGATTTACCAAAAGAAAGCAATTCATGGTTATGAGACAGTTCTTGTAAAAATCATCAATGAGCTTTTAATGACCACTTGCCAATCTCCCAACCCCCCAATTTTCAACTTCCTTAACCTCTCTGTTTCCATGGATATTAACGGTTCCTTTCATGAACCTTCTTCCTCAGTCTTTTATGATACTGAGCCTTCCTGGTTTTACCCTACCTTGGTGGCCATCTCAGTTTTGGCTCTTCTTCCTTCACTGTCTCCTAGAGTCCTGTCTTTGGCCACTTTTACTCTACTCTCTCCTGACCTATGTCCACTCCTATATCTTCCACTCTTCTCTTTATGCTTATAGATCCCTCACTTGCATTTCAGGTCAGACTCTGAGTTTCAGTTTCTTATTTTCAACTGCCCACTGGAGAACACATATATATCCATGCATTGCTAGCAGAGCTGAACTCACCTACCACTATGGGCCAGCCAGCCCATCTGATTTATCTCACTTTTTAATGTGGTCACTTCTCAGGTTTGGCTCTTTACAGTTTTTTAACTCCTCCATTTCTTCTTCCTCTACTCTTCCACTCAGGTTCTAAATTCTAGAAATTCTCACTACACAGTGTCTCTCAATGCCACCCCGCTGTTCCAGTCCTCTTCATCTTTGCCTTATGCGCTCCATTAACTCCCACTAGACCATTGGAATAACCTCCCAACTGGCCTTCCACATTCCATTTTCTCTTCTTTTTCAAACAAGTTTACATTCAGATAGCAGATTATTTATCCTAAGACACACCTCTGAAGTTGTTTGAAGAGTGGGATAATGGAGAAAATTATCCACTACCTACCAAAGTTTAATCTTGCATTTCAGACCCATTGTGTTTAACTTTATCTCTGTGTCTTTAATTTGCATACAACTGCAACTCAACCAGTATTCCCTGCTTCTAATCCATACTGTTTCTGAGGTGTTGTTAAGAGTTTCTGCTGTCCTGGTTAGCAATTAAAGCTCATATTCCATGTCCTCTATAAAACCTTCTCTGACTGCCCCAGATCTCATATCCCATGCAAGCTTTCATTCTTCACTTCTCAGAGCATTTCAACAAGTTGTCTACAGCACTTGACATACACAATGTCTTAATTCTTCTACTTCTTGTAGTGATACATCAAATTTAATCATACTTTTATCAGAAACATTCACTATAGTCCCTTGCACACAGCCAGTGTTCAGAAATATTTGCTAAAATGTTGAATAAGAAAGTAATTTGTCCCCTAGGATCTGCTGTATGACCATGATAGTACTATACTAACTCTCCTGGTTAAAAATATGAGCAAACAAGATTAATATCCAGACAAAAACCAACATTTTGTCAGTTGGTAAAATATCTATCTTGTTGTATAATAAATAATCCTCAAACTGCCAAATTTGGTTAGTAGGGAAACAAAGGATACTTTGAGACCCACCAGGTCTTTGGGAAATTTCTGAGAGGGCATCAAATGCCATCTTGCAGAATTGAATTCTCTTTCTGAATTCTTATTTATGATTTCTGAATTGTGTTTAAATAACAGGGTTGTGAATGATATGTACAGTTTTGGCAAACTGTGAGTAAATTCAGCTCTCAGTGGAATTATGACTAGGATTAAAATAGTTTAATGTTAGAAGAACAAACTAAGTTGCAACCCATAGCTCTAGTGTATGAGATTTATCAAAGTATTTATACCGTGGCTTAACGGTCTCCCAAACCTTAGCTAAAACAAAGCTTAATGTCAACCTATGTTTTCTTGAACCTCAAACAGTTCCAAATGTTTGAAGAAAATGCTTAGATTGGATGGTAGTCATCTAACACAGTTATTTCCTTGTGGCAGGCTAAGGATTTAGTCCAAAATTTTTTTGAATAGATGGATTTCAGAGAGAAAGGGAAATGAGGGCAAAAGCCTTTCGTTTGGTTTAAAAGTGACCACAATGAATTTCATTCCCCACAGATTTCCAGGCCTCCACTACTTGTTAAAATATTTTCTACTAGCACTGCCATTTTCCATTCCTGAGGTTGAAAGAGGAAAGGGGGCTGGAAGGGAAGAAAATATTTTAAGAAGGATATATGATTACAGAAAGGTGGAGAGGTAGACTGGGCCTCTGTGTGAGAAGCACACAGTAAGACAGATGGACTACACAGGCTGGAGAAGCAAGGGTGGCTTAAGAGTGTGAAAATTTATTGGAAACAAAAAAAAAAAAAGAACTTCTAGAGTAGCTCAGAGAAGAAACTAGAGAGGCGGGGTCCACAGTTCCTTCTGCCAGTCTACGCGAGTCAGACTCAGTAGGAGTGCCAAGACTCCAAAGAATTAGCAGACAGTTTTGGTGCCAATATCCTCCTCTAACTTGACTCAAGGCAATTCAACACTGCAGGAGCCTCTGTTATGACTCAGGGACCCAAACTAGACCTAGAAGGAAAAGCAAAAGTGAGTAATTCCAGTCATTGTTTCAAGCAGTTTGAAACCAAGTGGAAGAGCTAATCTAGGTACATAAACCAGACTCAGATAATGGCCACAACGAAACTTTCCATTAGGAAGGACCTTTCCCCACAGGCTGTATGTAGGAGACAACATTTTCATGTTTCTCACAGTGAATCCAGGTTACTATCATTTCAGATAAAGTCAAGGGAAAGTTGGTGGGCTAGAGAACAGGAATGTGGCTTGCCTTTGGTTCACAGCTCCTATGCTGTGGGAGGCAAGTGGGTAGATAAGGCTAGAGGAGGGAAGAGGGCAGGGCCTTTGAAGATGGCAACTGCCATTCCTAAATGCTTTGTTTTCATAATCATCTACAGTGAAGTTGGACCAAAACTGATGCCATTATTTTAGGAAAATCAATCTCAACCAGTAGATGAAAACATCTGTGAAGGTCCAACAGTAGGAAACCACACAAGGATACTAGACAGTTACACAGTAAGAAGCCTAGAGAAATCTTAAGATCCAAAGTGAGGGAATCCACAGGCTTCCGCATTTTAAAAACTGCAATGCCAATTGGTCCAAAGTGTTCAACACATGAAAAAGCAGTTTAAATCTACTTTTGAAATTTATACTGTGAAGTAACATCTCCTCCATCCTATATTTTTATACTGATTTTAGGGGTGGTTATGCTTGTTTGGGGAGTTTGGTAGGGAGGGTGTAGACCCCAGGTTAACCAGTCTTACTGCAACAAATCATATCATTCTTCTAAGTTTAATAATAACAATAGTACTATTAACTAAATCATACTGCTATGGTCAGGAATTATTCTAAGTGCTTTATCTACAAAAACATTTATTCTCACAATTCTGGAAGTGGGTGTAATAATTATGATCTCCATTTTGCAGATGAGGAAACTGAGGTTTAGAGAATTTAGGTAACTTACCAAGGGTCACACAGCAATGGGGATAATTTCTGAGCCTGTGTTCTTATAAAAGCTCACAGGTGGATAGGCCTCTGAATTTGCTTTTACCTGAGGTTTTCTTTTCCTGTCTTTCTTTGTCTTATTCCTGTTTCCATAACACTAGACCCTAGAATGCTGCTCTTCTGTTAATACTGTAGCTATGAACCACAGCAAATTTCACTTCTCAAATTACAAGAACTACCTGAGTAAAGCCAGGGGTAGAGAGAATGGGGTGAGGGCTGCATAAGGTTGAAGGCATAACTCTGGGTGAGCATTCCGCCTCTTGCACCCGTCTAGCTCCCCCTTGAGCATCTGAAGAGACAGCATCAACCATTCACACCTCCTCAAGCTCCTCTGTGTCTACCATCCCTGACAAGGCAAGACCAGGACTCACTGCCTCGAAGATCCAAATGGAGAATTTTATGACACTAAATTTCACTTGGCTCACTTGGGCAGTTTTCACTTATCAACCTCTTTGGATCCTAAGTCTGTCTTCCAAGATTGTGCTGTCTCTCCCCTTTGTGTTCATCTGCAAATATTATAAACCTGACTTCCAAAGCTTCACCAAAGGTCTGGAAATTGAACAAAGCACAGAACAAATCCTTGCACTATTCTCCTTAAGGTCTCCTGGGTGGGCATTGTTGGCTGGTGTAGATATTCATTGATGCAACTCATAAAAACAGGTAAGTGACATTGCAATTTTTAGCAAGCTCAAAACTGGTTTCCTTGCCTAATGAATACAATGATGAACAATCATCTTTTTGATGAGGCCATCAATTATAAATTAAGCCTAACTAGAGGCTCAAATACTCTGTATGCTTCCATATTCCCCCCAAATATCATGGTTTTTCTCAAAAGCCATGTTAAAAGAGAAAGATTGTATGTATGTATCTGTTAACAACCAAAACTGAAAAATGAGTTTGGGTTTACTTCTGACTACCTATTGATTATCCTTTTTCCCATTCCAAATGCTAATAAACCAGACACAATTTTGCTAGTAATGAGCATCAGGGGTACCAGTTTAAAATTTGAAAATCATACCTTCTTCCTTGCTGTGCAAACCAGGATACTGGTGGGCTATCTCCAGGCCTTTGCCATCTTACAAGAATCTGAGATTCATCACAGATTTTAAAACTCATTCATAGAAGTGCAGTCTTGTTTGTTGCTTTTCTCACTGTCAA